TCCGATCTCAACTACTACAACTACAACTACAACTACAACTACAACTACAACTACAACTACAACTACAACTACAACTACAACAACAACTACTACTACTACTACTACTACTACGACGACGACGACGACTACTACGACGATACTACGACGGCGACGACGACTAATACTACGATGATTACTAGTTCTGCTACCTCTACTACTACCACCACTACCACTACTACTACCAGTAGGTCTACTTCACCACTACGTAGTCATTACTTTCTACTACTTGTTTTTGTTACTTCTTACTCCTGACGGCGACCGTGACACTAGCATTATGCCGGTGTTGTTGCTGATCAATGAAGTATCCTGTCTTAGTGTGGGCTGATGCTGACAGGCTGTGTTTCAGTGGTAGTAGCCTTCTAAAACGGGATGTTGCTGACACGATGCATACGCATCTCGGACTTAATAAAGAATGTACCTCTCCTACGTGCCAGATTAAAGACCAGCATGTTACTCAGGCCTTAAGACCGATCTGATCCCGGTTCGAAATGGCCCCGACTCAGACTTCCAACTATACGCCCATGCCATTCCAGTGTCGGAGGCGCGCTAATTGCTCAAAAACTGGAAAAGCCATGCCATGGGCCCATGCACCCCATGATGTGAAAGACCTGACCTGGAGGTCCCGGCTCAGCTCCTCCGGCGTGCTTCTTAGGGTCCTATCTCGTGGATTGCAGCAGCTGCATTTGAAAGAGACCCTTTATGACACCCCTGCCGCCCGCATCTGGTAAGCAGTGGGCGGGGTCCTGGGTTTGCTTTCTCTGATTCAACTAGCAGTTCTGGTACATCTGTAAAGAGCTAGGCGTGGCAACCCGGTTACAAGTGGGTGGGCAAGGGTCTGTGTTTGCTCGGGCTTAGCCTTCACAGTCGAGCCCCTACACGACCACAGCGCGTCAAACTGCAACGTGTTTACTACTTCCGCAGTTTCTCGATAGAAAGAGTCCAGCGAGCTCTCCGGTTTAGCAAGCTGATCAAGGAAGCTTTGGAAGTCTCTCTTGCATGTAGATCATCAAAGGGAATTTGCAGATCGTCTGTGCGCATGTCCGTGGATTACGGATTACACGCAAGCACCCCCGTGTGGCGGTACCCACCAGAAACGGCTTGACATCGTGGCACCTGTCCCGTTTATGCCAGAATTTGAGGATGACCTCCGAAACTCTGCACACCTCAGACGCGCAACGGACATGCCTTGGCCGGTAAGCCCTGGCGCAGCGCTGCTAGCCACCAGATGGATCCCTGCCCGACCCCAGGGCTTTATCCAGCTCCAGTAGGTCGGACTTTCGCTCCAGGGTCTTCAGGTCTTTTGGATGTGGTTGTGCGAGTTTGGTTTGGAGATTCAGCGGCTCATGTCTGGTCTGGGTGACAACATGTGAGAGCACGAGAGCACTTGATGTGAAGCACGCACAACATGTGCGTGTGTGTGTGTGTGTGTGCGTGCATGTGTGTATAGATGTACATATATATATATATACATATGCTGTATGTGTATGCATATATACTTAGATATATATATATATATATAGATATATATATATATATATGTATGTATGTATGTATGTATGTATACACAATATCAAACGATGCGGCAGCTTCTAGAGCACTGGTTAGGATGGAGCACTCGTCTTTCAAGTGCAGAAGCTTGGGGATGTGCCACATCTCAGATCGCGCGGCGGCGACATACTCACACTCTCAGGAATATAAGGCCGAGAGAGAGAACCGAGACAGCCTGTGCGGTACGCATTAATCTGCGCAGGGCAATCAGCATTAGCTCACGAATGTGATTGTCTGTAATGATATGTAATGATGCTGAAAGTTGTCACTGCTACGCTCACACATATGCAAGATGTCTTGACCGTGCTGTCCTTGCTGGTATCCTTGTTGGCCTGCGGATTTTCTTGATCACGCTGTGACTGTCCAGCTTCAACGATAGTGTCTATGTGCACAGCCGTTGGCAGTGGCCGAGGTGCTTGGATTTTGGGGATGTCATCATGTGCTTCGTTTGGAGCTACCGTGAGATTCTTGTTTGAGGTTGTGATCGAGTCGGCGGCGTAAAGCGTTGGCTGGTGGGATATCGCAATGCACTCGTGGCTCTGTCACCAGACAGAAGATGAAATACCAATATTGTATATTGTAACTCTTTATATCTGTGGTTGTCTAGACCAGAGTCTATAGGGCTCAGTAAGTATGAATCAAGTGCAGGGTTGAGGCTCTTACAAACACCAGTTGTTCCACACATTCGAGCCTTCGCCGCGAAGCCATGAGTCGTCCTTGCGCAATTTCCGACCATCGGATTACATGAGTTGGGCCTGGGGGTCATAAACTCTTGAGACTAGCAACAAAAGATACAAGGTATCTTCTTTGCTCATGCGGGAGCAGGTTTGGTTGCACGACCAGCACGGAACAGCGGACTTAGGAACTCCTTGCTGTTTCGAAGTCCGCGCTGGTCCACAAATCCACGTAGCCTCGGTTGACGAAGTAGACCAAATGAGAGACATAACATGCTCAAATAGCAGTATGGGCATGGTTGATGAAGAGACTAGGGGCACGGCCAAACCGTATTTTGTTTCAAGTCCTTGTCAAACGGAGGTGGCTTGCGACACAAAAACTGTCGGCTAGAAACTTTCATACAGTTTCGAGTTTTTAGCTCACGTCAGCCTCCCTTGCACACATTTGCCCTGTGAAGGCTCAAGCCGGCCAGTCACAAACACTAATATCTCAAGCTGTCCCGAAATACATGATTGAAATTTGATCTAATGGCTGGGAAACATGCCAGGAAGTGGAGGACTGAGGCATCGCGAGTACGTTATTTTTGTCTATAGGCTGCACCTCAATCTTTCACCCACATCCAGAAGTCCTTGCCAGGTTTCGAAGATGCAGAATCCAACCCCAACATGATCATAAACTTCGGGGCGAGAAGCAGCTCCAGGGCCCCCAGGTGGGGCAAATTGAGATCCTCGATACGGATCCTGATTCGCACATTCCTCTGCACTAACTGCACCATGACAACGGAAGACATGAATGTGCAAGCGACGTAGGGCTTCTCAATGCCTTGTACAGCCCTCACAGGCCACCGACTGGCATCACGAAGGTTTGGCCCCTTGACCCCGTATACATTGGGGATGTGACAGGTGTAACATCCTCGTACCAAGCATGGCCTGCTAAGGCCTTAGAGATGCAAAGCCCTATATGATGGCAGAAGGTCAGCATCTGCCCTGCGAAAAGACGGCGGCCGGGTCGACACTGAAGCGTCGCCTCGAGGCAGACATAGGAAGACGAGGAGTCCCGGTAACTAGTCATGCCATGCGTGTCTCCAAACCCAAATCAATAGTTCGAACCGAAACGGATTCCTTGGGCCAATGAAGCTATTGCCACAGGTGTGACATGTAACCCCGGATTATCCGATTATCCCCTCTGTTGGATGGCTGGCGAGTCGCTGCCACCAGCGCCGTCTGCATCTCCGAACAACCAACTTGGCGGCTGAGAATGGTGCCTGCTCCAATCGGTTTCAGGGAGGTATGGCCTCTTGGTGCTTTGATTCTAAAATTCCCATGAGGCTTAGCTTTGTCGAAAACAAGAAGCAAACCCCTCGAAAAAGGTTAGATATGTTGAAACAGAGGAGCAAACCGCTCGAAACAGACTGAGACTTTGGAAAGAGACTGGGGAAATTGAACACAAGGAGCAAAACTCTCGAGAGGAACTAAAGAATTTCAGAACAAGGGGCAAACCGCTCGAAAGAGACCAGAGAATTTCAACGGATACTAGAGAATTTGGCAACAAAGAGCACACCGCTCGAGAGGAACCAAACAAATTCAGAAGAAGGAGCAAGCCGCTCACACAAAACTGAAGAATTTCGAAAGAGACTAGAGAATTTGACAGACTAAAGGCTTTCGACAGAGACCGGAGAAGTTGAAAACAAAGATTAAACCGCGCAAAAGAGACTAGATAAATTCAAAAGAGTCCAAAGAACTTGCAAACAAGGAGCAAACTGCTCGAAAGGGACTAAAGAATTTCAGAAGCAGGAGCAGGCCGCACGAAAGAGGCTAGAGAATCTCGACAGAGACTAGAAAGCTTGAAAACGAGGAGCAAACAACTCTAAAGGAGCAAGAAGCAGCTAACCGTTCGAAAGAGACTAGAGAATTTCGACAGAGACCAGAGAAATTGAAAACAGTTAGCGAACCGCTCAAGGCAATAGAAATTTCAGATGAAGGAACAAAGTGCTCGAACGTGACTAGAGAATATCGAAAGGGACTAGGGGATTTGAAAACAAGGACAAAACCGCTCGAAAAGAACTAGAGAATTTCAGAAAAAGGAGCAAGCCGCTCGAAAGAGAACAAATAGCTTGAAAGGATAGGTAATTTCAGAACAAGGAGCAAGCCGCTCGAAAAGGACTCGAGAATGTCGAAAGAGACTAGAGAACTCAAAAACAAGGAGCAAACCGCTCAAAAGGAACTACCGAACTTCAAAAAGGTTGTAAACCGCTCGAAATAGACTAGAGA